ATCACATCTTATAACCTGCAGCAATTCAGAGAGATGTTTCATAGCTACAGAAAGACACACCTTAGGTCACAGTACCACACAGTAGAACTGCCTGATGAAACAATGATCAATACTGATAGGCTATGACAGGCTTTTGGCAGCTTTAGGGCAACCTGTCTAGACTTTGTACAGAGTTAAAAAAAAAGCTCTCTGTACATTACATTGTTGCAGTTTTATTTTTTCCTTTTATAGATCTCATAATTTTAAGTAATTATACTACAAATCGTATCTGGAGTTTTTCAAAGACCTTCATGCTGTTTAATACACTGATGTTTAAAAGTCAGCTTAAATTATAAATATGAGCTGTACATATTTATTACCTTATGGTGGATCTTGTTCCTTACTTTTTGTTCCTCCTCAAGTTATAGTACTTATTCTCTATCCCTCCCTTGGAACGTGAATAACATGAATACTTCTGTGCAGAGAGAGCGGTTGTGGCTAGAGATTTTTTCTCAAGGCCACATAGAATCATAGAACAGTTTGGGTTGGAAGGGACCTTAAAGATCATCCAGTACCAACCTGCATGGGCAGGGACACCTTCCACTAGACCAGGTTGCTCCAACCTGGCCTGGAATACTTCCAGGGATGGGGCTTCCACAACTTCCCTGGGAACCTGTTCCAGTGTCTCACCACCCTCACATTAAAGAATTTCTCCTCGTCTCTAACCTAAATCTCCCCTACATGATTATGTATCAATTTCTGTAATCAGATTTTATTTTTGTCATTAATTTTTATATAAATTATATCTTTATGGTGCCTCATTCATGTCTGCTTTCTTTGGTTTCTGTGCCCTAGCTAGACTCTAGTGCCTTTAAAGCTGTGTATCTAATTCCATGACCCACTGATTTCTCAGAGTAGTAGCTACAGACAGCCCTTGTACAAAGGTGTTGGGTATGTCTCTGATGTGTTCAGCAGCCTATACAGTGGAGGGGTGAAAAGAGCCATAAATTTATCCTTAGTTTTCAGCGTGGTTATGTGTTGGAATTCATTGCACTGATACTGACAATACTGCTTTTTCTTCATGACTGTTTAGCCATGAAAGTGTGCTGTTGTGGAATGCGCCCAGTGGATAATGATAACAATATACTATTTTATTTATGTCCTTATCTGTAGAATCAGAAGAGGTTTTGTTCTGGAGACAATATGCATAACTTCTAGGTAAACAATCTCTTTTCCTTGTATAGTTTTACGCTCCACTAGTTGCTCACCTGCTACTTAGCTGTAGAACACTCTTTGTTCAAAAAGAATTAGAGAAGGCTGTGGATTTTCGTGTGACTTGCAGTGACTGGACCCAGGAGAGAGTCTGCAGCTGCAAGAGTCTTACTTTTTTATGTGCCTTATTAGCTAGAAGTAAAGTTCACAGTTTGCAGTGGAGGGACAGCTCTGGAGTGTGGAGGCTAAGAAAAAAAAGTTTTGGGCCAGACTTGTCGTAAGTATCTTGACTGGCTAAAACACACTTAAGTGTTAGTTCCCACAAATACAGAATGGAGATAGTTATTTTGGATGTGGGTGTAATTTGGAAAAATAAAAGGAACAGCTGAGAATTTATCCTAGCCAAGCGTTATCAGAAAACAAATTTACTTCAAAGTATTTAATTTAGTTTATCTATGAAAGTAATCAGCGGGCTACTGAAGTACCTGTGCTAAATGATTTGTTTGTTTATTTACAAGAAGAAAGCTGTACCCTATGGTTTTGAATGGTAACATAACTATTGAAGCTGGGGTACAATACATGCTATCAGAAAAGCCCCATATGTGTGCACTTTAGATCTTTTGAATACCACAAAAGTTTAGTGACCTAGAAATGAATCAATAAAAAGCCATCCTCTATGTGACAAATTGAAGAACTGAGGGATTCTTACAGATGCATTGACTTCAACAATTCAAGATACACTGTTTGTAGAGGCTTTCTGAAACACATTTAATCTTAGAATACTGTAGCAGACTATAAGGTGTTTTATATTTAGATCACTCTCGAATAGTTTGTTTCCTACTTTTACTAGACGTTTACTGTTATGAAAATCAATGTAAGAAGACTAAAGGGAAGGCTAGTGCTAAAATGATTTTTCCTTACTCTGAATGTAAACACTTTTAATTTGGTAAATTGAAAATTCCTTATTGCTTTGCAAAATATATTTTGGAAAGGTATGGCAGTTCTTCAGTTCTTTTACATTACAAATAAGTCTTATCACTCAACAAAAGGAATTATACTCTTGGATAGGTCAGTAAAAGCATTTATTTCCCTGTTCTTTGTTGCTTCACTTCTGTAGCTTGTTTTACCCTTTCAGCATTTCAAATAAAAATTGAGTAAAATCCTTCTTAACTACTACAGCCTTATTTCCTCTTAGTTTAGTTAAGTAATCATCAACATGCAGTATGATTTCTTATATTTATCTGTGTTTTATGGAGTTTCTGTGTTATGCTTGGCACAAAATAGAGCATGTTGTTTACTGTCTAAGGAATATGTAGATATCATACTGTCACTTTCTAGAGGACTTTGATTCTTAAATTTAGAGCTTCATAGATGGAAGTCAATACACTGTGAATAATATATTGCAAATTATATTGCAGTAAGCAACTAAAGCATGGCTAGTAAGAGAGAGCCAATGTTTAGGGAGCAGGATCTAAATGTGTTCTTGGACTCCAGTTGTAACGTACTTTAAATAACACATCTTTTAAAAAAATAAGTCTAGTGAAAAATATCAACCAAACAGTATAATGAAAAGTACAGTATTGGCAAAAGCTTATTGTTGACAGTGCTGGTTACCTTACAAAAAGTTAAGCAGGACCAATTTCCAAAAGCATTTCAGAATTATAAACTGCAATTGCCTTTAAAGTCTGGAGCTCTTAATTAAATAGTTTACTCTTGCATGCTTGAAAAGCCATTAGTAGTGCTACTGAAGAACTGCTTTCCTAGTAATTTGGCTCCATAAGCTGAGCTGTGACTGAGGATGTAGATCCTTGTATGAGACTAGGATGGAGACAAGACTCAATTCAGATCAAACTGAAGCACTACAATTGCAGAAGCAAAAAGTAGACCTGGCAGTGTCTAAAGTTTTGAAGAAATATTGCAGCCTTATTTTGTAAATACAGTCTTTATACCATGCTTAGATCTTAAACTGCTTCAACAGGAGGAAAACAACCCCCAGTGTGCAGAGAACTTAAAGCACATTCCAGTACCTGAAGGGGGCCTGCAGGCAAGCTGGGGAGGGCTTGTAGAGAGAGGACAAGAAGGAATGGCTATAAACTTGAAGAGGGGAGATTGAGATTAGACATTAGGAGGAAATTCTTCACTATGAGAGTGGTGAGACACTGGAAGAAGTTGGAAAGGGGAGTTTTGGAAGCTCCATCCCTGGAAGTGTTCAAGGCCAGGTTAGATAGGGCTCTGAGCAACCTGGTCTAGTGGGAGATTTCTCAGCCCGTGTAGGGGAGTTGGATCTAGATGATCTTTCAGGTCCTTTGCAACCCAAACTGTTCTATGATTTCATGATAGTAGGAGTGTATCAGTGCAACACTTGTTCTGCGATATGTTTCTGAAGATTCCCCATTGGTATTAGTGTTCTCTCTCCTTTTTGGATCTCCATCTCCTTTCTGCCTTTCCTCCCACTCCACTTCATTGGTTCATTTTGACTTGTTAAGGCCCAGAACATATTCTGGTACTTATCAAAGTTATATTGTTTTTTGCTTTCATTCTTTGGTATTTTCTAAAAGTTGGATATGAATGCCATCTTTTATTTTCAGCCTTTGTTTCTGGTTTTGTGGGTTTTCTTTTAGTTTTTTCCTAGTAGGGAGGAAATTGTTTCGAAGTCAAACAAAGAATGGATTAAGAGTCTTGTTGGTTTTGTATAAATAAAATCTGTCCCTTAGTATTTTTCTGCAATAACATCCCTGTGTATTTTCCAGCAGCCAGATTAACAGATAAAGAAAGTGAAACCTTACATTGTTGCATTTACTTTTCCTGTATCTTTTTAAATAAATGTCAGAGATATGTTTTTTCAAAAAGGCATGATCTAAAATTTTACTGGACAATTAATTGAGTAGTTATATTGTTAGGAGTTTTTTTTGCTAGCATTATCATTCCTGTTGTGTATACTTCCAAAAAATAAGGAAAATCAGAGGTGGCTCTGATTTCAGTTTTCAATCTTCCCTCAAAAATCTTTTGAGTTATAGTAAGTTTTAATTCTATGAAGGTCATTTAGACTTTCTAATTCTGGTAATTTCTTATACTTATTTTGCAGAAAAGAACCTGAAGGAAATATTAGTCTTTCTGAAGTCAGTGGGAGTTGATATTTTTATTTCAATTTCTGATAACAAGTATTGTCTCACTTAAACTATAAACTTAAATGTCTGTTGAATGTGTTCGAGATTTTGCTCTGTTTTGTTTTCAAAAAGAGCATTGCAAGTTGTCTCTTTTTTCAGTATATCAGTATATTTTTTTTTGCCTATTTTTGTAGTTCTCACTGTTTTGAAAGAAACATGGATGTAAGAATATCTCTAAGAAATCATTCCTTTATATAGTTCTAGCATGTCAGCTCTGATTGAATTTTGAAAAGCATCTATTAATAGACATTTTAAGAAAGTGTATAAATATTTGAATCATTAAGAATATAAATATTAATACAGTTCTCCTAAATTAACAAAACCCTTTCCCGTTAAACCATTATTTTGGTAATCTTACTTGATACTGATGGGAAACCTTGTTGGGAAGATAGCGTTATTGCTGTATTCCATCCATATCTGAGAATGAAATACGTGATTGGGAACTATTTCCCTGGCTTAGAAAATTAGGAATACAGTATTATCAAATAAATGCTTTGGAATCACATTGTGCTGTGATCTCTGTTGTACACTGTATACTCTAGGGGGTAGATCAAAAGAGGGCTTTAAAGGGTATGAAATTACAGGTGGGTGATTTATCTAACAAAAATAAAGACAAAATTCCAACCATTCTTGTTTTCACAGAGGAAGATAAATACAATCTTTACTCCAATTTGTTGTTCAAGTGTTTTCTCGCAGAGGGAGTTGTCTGTGGACATGACTTATTTGTTGCTTCTGCTAAAGAGCATCCTGACAACATCTTAAAGGTAAAGAAGACTCATAGCTTTTGACAAGTAAGGTGGTAATATCTTGATGAATTTAAACGTATTTTAATGTGTATATATTGTGTAGAAAGTAATCAACCAATCAATGGTGATTCATACGAGTTTGTTGGGAAGAGCAGGATGTGTACACCAGCGAGGTTTGGGAATTAAATTTAGCACACTAGCCTCTGTCTATGAACAATCGAGTGAGATCCTCCCAAAGGTAAATCAGCCCAGGAGCCTTTGTTTTGATTATGGATGAAAACCAGACTTGCTAGCTTAGTTGAATGGTTTAAGTAAACCCAACTGTTTATGGTTTCCACCTGCCAGTCAGGAAGAGTAGTTAAGCTGCTTCCAATATATTGTAGTGGAAACAGTATACAATTTGTGTAGATACTAATTGTAGTTTCTTTACATCTTTACAACTTCATGCAAGTCATGCAGAAAGGTTTCTTTCAGACTTCAGTGAGCTAAGGAAACACTGATACTTTTCATTATAAGGAAATATATAAGGGAAAAAGCCTTATCAAGAGTGCAAAAAATGCTTAAGTGTGAGTTTAATGTTATAAAATTTCCTTAAATAGTTTATGTCTTTCTAAGGTTGCTTTTTTCCTAATACCAAAAGTAAAATATAATTTACTACTTACTTCTGCATCAAGTGAAGTCTGGGTATTTTGTTAAAAGTCTTTACAGACTATTTCTGGACAAAATTATTATCTGTTTTATTTCTTCTACCTAGTGATCAGGGATTCTATGATCTTCAGCATTCAGGAAAAAATTATATTCTTAATGAAATTTTATGATTGTGGTTATGAAAAGTGTAATATTTTTAAAAATTTTATTTAACCTAAAGAGGGTTCATTTAGGGGTGAATTTTTTTATCATTTGCTCTTGTGATTTAGAATGTATACTAAACGAATAGGTTAGGATTTGATTGCCAAGTGTGAATTACATAGAGTGTACTATTTTTAAATAATATTTGTTACTAAATGGCTTACAATCAAGTCATTGACTCTCTGACCATACAATATATAGAATGAGAGAATAATAGAATGGTTGAGGTTGGAAGGAACCTTAAAGATCCTAAGGTTCCAGCCTCCCTGCTATGAGCAGGGACACCTCCCACTAGACCAGGCTGCACAAGCCTCATACAACCTGGCCTTAAACACCTCCAGGGGACAGGCTTCCACAACCTCCCTGGGCAACCTGTTCCAGTGCCTTCCTACCCTCATGGTGAAGAATTTCTTCCTGATGTCTAACCTAAATCTGCCCTCTTCCAATTTTAATCCTTTACCTATCCCTGTTAGCTTTATGCATATAAATAAAGAGGTTGTGTATCTATCTGGAGAACAAACTTTTTCGACATCTTCAGGAAAGCAGGATCTCATTGTGATTAGAACAGCATCAACATTCAGGAAAATGTTGATGGGAATATAGATGTTTCCCTTCTTACTTTTCAGGGGTAGATGCTAGGTAGCAATATTGCATTCCTCTGTTGTAACTCCACAGTGGTCTTACTATAAAAGATTATAAATGGGCAATATTACTACAGGAAAGTTGAGGGAAACATAATTTTGTCTTGTTTTCTTCCTCCGTTTTTGTGTTTATACCCAACAGTACTCTTGTCTATCCTTTTCTACTCTTACCTTGACTATTCAACACTTAGCAGACAAAGCACAGTAGAGTTGATTTCTCTGATTTGTGTTGCTGCTCTGAAATTGTTTCAGTGAAGTAACTAAGTTTTGCTGGGCATCAATCTAGTGAATTCTGTACTTTCACACTTGGAAAGCTTAGGCACTTCTTTCAATGCCAGTATGTGTTACCTAAAAAACATTATTGCCTTAACTGGAAAAAGTTGATCTAAGACTGGAGTTGACCACAGTTAGATCTCCAAATCACAGACGTAGGGGAGCTTTCCCTGCAACTGCCTCACTTCACATTTAAAAGGGAGGACATTCAGGTGCTTCAAGAAGTCCGCTCCTGTCATAAACATGAGCTGTTTGGGATTTCAATGCCTGCACCAAGACAGGATTTTAATATAACCTATCTGACCACTGCATTTTATTTAATTAGTTTATTAATTAATTTATTTTTATTTTCTGATTGGTCTGTATTCTTTACTGGGAACACAATGTATCTATGGTGCATATCAACCTGATTTATACATTTTATACTTGGTTTTTATTTTTAAAAATTCAAGTACAGATTCAATATATTCTGTAGCTAATATGCTAATTAACTGGTGTTTTACATAAAGGCAGTTCCTTATCTGCCTTATGTCTGTGTGGTCAGTCTATTTTATACATTCACTTCTCTGTGGAGTTGACATAATGGCTCTATTCTAATTTTATGATGTGATTGGAAGTTTCTTGGACCTATAACCAAGACAAATATTGCTGGTAGGAGGAAGGGGAAAAGACATTCTTATAGACCATAATTATCTTGAAATTGTGTATACCTAAAAGACAAGCAAAGGATAAAAAGCCCTGATCAGCTGCCTAAGATATATTATATTACCACCCACCAATTTATCCATCATCCTTTGAAAACATATTCATGCCTTTTGTAGTCAAAGCTCCTTCAGGAAATTGGCATTAAGATGTAATGCTGAAAAATTATACTCCTTTGGTAAAACCTACAGAACTATATACATACTGTATTTTAGAGAGCATTTTAAACATTTGTGAGCATTTCTGTTCCATCTATGTTCTTCTACAAAAGGCATATTTTTACTATGAGACCATAAATACTGGGAGTAATATCTAATACAATAAATTGTATGGTTTGCTTCTGTGATTGATCAAAAAATAAAACAGATAGAATTTGTAAATGGAAAAGTATTTCAATAATAAAATCAATGAAGGAAACATTATACCTTAATGCTCCTTTTTCAGTACCATACCTTTTTTAAAGTTTAGACTACAAATTATGAAAGGCTGTTAGGTGCTCAAGCTTAAAAACAAAGAGAACTTAATAAAGGAGATAGGGGTGTTTTATTGTATCTATTTCCTTTACTGTGTATTTCACTGTGTTTAGTGGCTTTATTTTTATTTTTTAGTTCAGCACTGTAAAGTTAGTGCCAGCTATTTTGAAGTTGCATATAGTGTATTTGAGAATGGAACATACAAATTTGAAGATATGGTTACACTTATTACAGAGTAAATCTGAACTTAAACACTGTTACACTTTTTGCAAGAAACAGCAAACAAGGGGGTTGAATATTTCCTTGAACATCACTTTAATCAAAATTAGAACAGGCTTGCATCTGCTCCAAGTTAGGATGGCTACCAAACTGACTTCTGGAAGTCTTAAAAATACAGTGTCTGTATAACAGCTTTGTTCTTTATGCCCATTCTCCTTGTTAGTGACAAAGTATGGTTCCAGTCTTAAAAAAAAATAAACATAAAAATCTGTATCTGTGGTGGCTGCATTTCTACCTTTCTCACTTTTCCAACTTCAGATTTGGGACTAAAATTCTAGAACTGCCTAAAGTACCTATAGAAGATTTTCCTTGCCTTTTTTTCCCTAATTATTTTATCTAGACCTTGGGTGGCAACTGATTCTAACAAGTTTTAATGAGAAAAAAAAATGGATAATACACCAATTACGAGCTCATCTTGACAGTAAAGAGTGCCTTTTGTTAAGTTGCTTTTACCATGGAGCCTGTGTAAAGTTTGTTTCAAGAGGAGGACTTACTGGTCAATTTTATGTGCTGGGAAACAGAAACCAGCATCCCCTGAAGTCCCACAATTTCCCTGTGGGACCCTGGTGAATATTACCTCAATGACTATTCCACTGGGAAGCTGGAAGCCTGAGGTGGAAGAGTGGGAGGTCCAGAACTGCTTTCCAGAGCTGCATCTGTTCATCTCTGGAAAAGTTGAATGGTTTGTGTAATTACTGAATTTTTAGGGAATTTCTGTTTTCAAGCTGTAATTCTATTACAAGATAATTCTGGACTCCGTTGCCTTTTGGAGGTTCTTTTACAAGAAGAGAGGGTAAAGAGGCATCCTTCAAGAAAGTAACTTAATTCTACATGATATATGAGTCTGCTGCTTATGGTGGGGATACTTTTACTACCCCTTCTGTAGAAGATAGCCTTTTTAGAAAGAAATGCAGTCCCTAAAATCCTAGCCCCTTGTCAAAGTCCCTTAGCATTTACCATGCTTAGGCATGGAGCGATATTTACCGTGTACATCTGGTGTCATTTTACTTCCAAGTTTGAAAATTAACAATGTACAAACAGTTTGTTCTCTGGAGAGCTGTAGAGAAGATTCTCTTGAGCAGTGAAGCCCTTAGTGTGCCCATGTATCAGACATGCAGCTTCACAGTGTTTACTGAGCATATTCTGAAGTAAAGGCAGTCTGGAGAAACCACAGCAGTGGTCTAGGGAACCAGAGTGAAAGGGAACAAGGCAGTGTCACTTGGTGAGGAAGCTGAGAAGAGCATGTAGGGAAGCATAATGGCTTATTAAAAAAACAACAGGGGTAAGATTAAAAAAACTTCCAGGAACAAGTTTATTAAAAATTTCTATCAAGCTGAAAAGGTCTCTAAAACGACAGTGAAACTGTATTTCAAACATGGCATTTTGCTTAATTAAATACGTTATTTGGAAAAGAGTAGAAAAATTCCACCTCCAACTTACTGGTTATGCTGAGTGGACCCAAGGAACAAGAAGGGCAGGCTTACTCTCTTCCCACTGAAAGGTTGAATGCAGAAACAATCTAGCAAAATACACTTTTGTCATTTCCAGATTTATTTAAAAATATCACCCCACAAACCACAATAAACAACCCACTGGGCTTCAGTGTTGCATTACTATGTATGCCAACAACCTGTTAAAAGAGAGCATAGCTCTCTACGTGGACACTTTTGCTCCAGTAAAGTACATTGGACCATGGTGTTTACATTTATCCCTCATAAAAATTGCTCTCAAACATTTTTTTGTCAAAAGGAGGAATGCAACCCTGGAAGAAATGATCAGGCAGGTGACCAGGGCTTTCCAA